CGCTCCCAGCCTCTTCTCCCGCGGTGCGGTACCGGCGCTTTCCCGGCCTCATCCTGGCCTCGTGCCCACCCCTTTTCCCCGCGGGGTCTCCAAGATGAACACACGCTTCCCGAAAGGGTTCGCCCCGGCGTGGCTTTCCACGTTGAACTGATTAGGTAATTCCAAAACCGTGGCAGAACGGAGCCGGGCCAGGGAAGGACTGTCCAGGTTCCAGGGTACAACAAATGTTTTGCGCAGTTGTTGGACCGGTCAGCACTAATACGGCCTTGCCGGTGTTAATCACCTTTATTTAGCTGAGGATAAAACTTTTATTTAGCTAAGGGTAGAACTCCTGAGTTCACACATACCTATAATGAACAAAGCGCTTTCCTCACTCCTGTCGTCTACCTTACGATTTTCTTAGAGTGTAATTCTTCTAGTGCTTTCAGTTACGGCACTTAAATATCAATCAGATACACTCAAAATGCAATGTTGTGCACGTGTGTCATTTCATGAAAAGATTAATTCAGACCTGTGATGAAGGGCATTGGCTTCAGCAGCCACAGTGACTGCTGTTTGGGTAAGGGTGAAACTACAAGCTAAACAAACTTAGAATGATAATAACTAGAAAGAATGCCTTTCTGGCTTGGAAGCCCTCATGCCAATGGTTTGCTCTGCCTGACAAATTTTGCTGTCCAAGTACAAACCAGACTTAGCACTGATGAATTAGAAATACAGTACACATTAATAATCTAAATTGAAGCTAACAAAAAAAAAAATCTAGTGTGATTTCTGTAACATCACAAAGTCTACATGTGTGGGGCATCTTGCAGGATTAAGTAACACCAAACATGATTTTTGTTATTGCTGACAGCAAGTATTCCCTCTTGTGGAGAGAGGGAGACAATCTTCCATTTGTACAACAAAAATGTAATTATCCAAAAAGTTTAAGGAAAAGAATATGGACCTTAAGAGAGCTGCACTCTTTTTTTTCTCTTAGCTGTAAGAACATAGTCAACTGTATTGTATATTGTATTTCTTTTTCTGCTTATGCCCTGACTCAAATGAGTTGTGATCTCGTGTGGATGCATAGGAATGCATTTGATCAGCCTGGTTATTGGTTTAAATATGAGGGCATTCTTCACTGTCCAGCAAGTAGAAATACCTGTTTCTTCAATGACCAAGCATACATGTGGAATACACTTTTGTTCTCTTTCCTAAAAAGCCATACTCTTACCATATAAAAGAAACAAGCTGCTTTTACTTAAAATTTCAATAGCTTCCTGTTAAGTTTGGAGGGGAAAATGCTCAAGACTTTTTATAAACCTTTTGATCCACTTCTGATTTCACCTCCTCTTTGTTTTCTGTTCTGTTCTGCTTCTTCATTTTTCTGGGCATAACATGACCAGGAATTTTGTTGGCTTCTTTTGCTGTTTTACGTGTTTAAGTACAGATCTACATGACTTCATACTTTCACTTTTTCTGCTCAAAGCTCTATTTATTTTGGTTAAGTTTGTATCCACTCGTTGATCTTACTAGCCCTATATTCATCCATCCAACCATACACAACTGTCCTAATGTGTTTTCCTGGCTATTTTTTTCCCCAAAGTTATTGATTTCTGCTTCCAAGGCTGAATTTGAATCCTTGAGAAAAAGTTTATAGCTCTTAGATAGTTCTTTTTGGGCAGCCTCCAGCAGCTGGTACAAGGAAGTGCCAGGGAGGGTGAGGGCTGTGGAAACCCTGGTTTAGGAGGGTTCAGGTCAGTGCCACATTTCACTGTTAGTTATTCCACCTTGTGCTGATGGTCAGTGATGGATGGAACTGCACCTCTCACCCCCTGAGTTTCTTGATTTGCTAGGCGGGCATGACACACAGGCTGCTTAGAAAATGCTGTTGTAGTGGTCTCAATAAATAAATAAAGACTTGTTGGGTAAAAAGACCCTTCTGTATTGATAGTGCAGAGAGCTTGCTGATACCAAGAATGAATTGTTTGACTCTGGCAAGATTCAGGTATTTAGCTGATATTTCCCAGGAGAGGTCATAACCATCATTTAAAAGTGTCTAACTTGTCTTGTATTGGGTTGTGCTCTTGTCTCTCTCACACCCATTGAGATGAGGGTGACTGACATCAGTAAGGAAATTTATTTTTCCTACTTGAGCAGACAAGTGGCAACCAAAATGCTTTATTTTTTCCACTGAATATAGTGTTTTTACTGTTTATTAGTATATCTTCCTCTCCCTTAGCTATTTCTATTTCTGTATCCAAGCCCAACCCCATGCCTTTTCAGAACTTTTCATCTTGGCTCTTCTTTGCTCTTTAACCCTGGCAAATCACTTGCACCTTTGTGAATCGCATTGCCCATCGTGAAACAGTGATCATTGCCTATGTGTAAAATATCTTTTATACAGTAACTTGGGATTAAGAGGTGTTACTAAAGCAAGGCATACAGATATTAGAGGAAAATATCTGTTAAGAGACAGCTACTGTTGCATCTGTGCATCTACTGCTAAGTTTTACATGAAAGTCGTTTTCTTTTCAGAGTGTAAAAAAATGGATTTGGCCAACCATGGACTTATTCTGCTGCAGCAACTAAATGCTCAGAGAGAGTTCGGTTTCCTGTGTGACTGCACTGTTGCCATTGGTGATGTCTACTTCAAGGCACACAAATCAGTCCTCGCTTCTTTCTCCAACTACTTCAAGATGTTGTTTGTTCATCAAACCAGGTAACTGTAAAAAGGTGCACTGTTTAAATGTTGTTCAGTTAGCTGAGCTAAGGAAGTCTATCAACGTTTTGAAACCTGAAAACATTCTTTAAAACAAACTAAAGTTGAACTGTGATTCATTAGCACTAACTTTATAATTTGACACAAGTTCTCTATCCTTAAAAAATCATGGGATTTCTAGAATTGAATACTTCAAGGATCCTGTTTCACTCCTGCACTTTCCTTCTCCCTTCTGCTCTGTCTTGACATTGTTCTTGACATTTCCATAACAGTATATACAACCCTATAAGTATTTACTAGGAGATTTTGAGAAATAAGCTTAAAAAAGAGGTGTATGTACTTTATTTTTTTTGCAGTTTATCAAAGTCAATTACTACATAGTGGTGGAAAATAATGGGGTTTGTGTTACTTTCCTTTCTGTGTTTTGGTGTTGTTTTGGGGGGGTGGTTGTACCAGAGCCTTACATTGAGGACCTTGAAAAGATAACCAAAGTGTTTTAAAGGTTTTTCTTTTTTTTTTCCAACTATTTGAACTATCTCAAAACTTCTAGGACAGAAGTGCATTTGCACTTCTGAAACAGTTCTGCAGGTAGATGTATCAGTCTTGATGCTCCATCAAGAGCACACAGTTATTTTTGGAAGACAACATTGCAAAGTTTACTTTTGAGTAATACATCTGAATTCAAAAGCAGTCACAGAGAAGGCTCGAGAAGGGTGCATCTCAAGAAATGGAAGAATTGGCTATAATTTCCTCCTCGGCTTGGTAGCGCACTGTGGTTAGAGCATTCAGACCACAGCACGCAGTCATGTCCATTTCTGGATTTCTGTGTTTTATTTAATACTTGTTTTTAATACAAGAGCTACAAATACTTCTGAAAAATAATTAGAATCCCAGTTCCTCTCCTGTTAGCTAACTGACCTAACCCCAAGGTGTTCCCTATTTTCTTTCTTCTGTGAGCCATACCTCTCTTTCTGCATAGAGATACACCTTCCACCAGAGGCATGGTGGGTGTTTCAGTCCCAGAGCATCATAAAGGTCGATGCACTGGGCACACTCTCGGCTGGAGGATGATGTTGGTTTCAGTTCTGTTAGGCTGAAGAGGCATCACAGCCAAAGCATTTCCCTTTACTGAGTGCTGTAGGCTGGCCAGGCATACCACTAGTGCTCCTGTTCCTTCCTTCTGGTTAAGGAGCCTGGACTCCACAGGTTACATGTGCTCAGGCTGTACCTGTTGCATCAGACCCCCAGGGGATTCACACCCTGTCCTGCATGGTTTCTGGATTGTAATGCAGTTGAAACAAGGTGATACCACACACTTGCAGAACTGTAGCTATATACCCTAATAGGACATAGAGGGCAAACGGGCAAGTGCCAGATAATTTTTAGATGTTTTCAGGGAGAAAAGTACTGAGTACTGAGAAAAGTTTAATGAACTGTGAATTTATAGTCCAGTGCTAGCAGGTTTTCATCTAGCTACAGATGTGTTTGAATCCAACCAAGAAAAGGGGAAAAATGGCTTTGCAATTTATAGAGTATATTAATATGTGACAACACATCTATAACATAACAGCAATTTAGAAGGGTGCGGATCGCAATGGGACAGCTTTGTCTTTTCATTGAGGCAACAAGTCATCTTCCAAGTGGCCAATAAGATTAGCTTTTTTACATTAAAGCATTTCTCTAATATATATTTGTTTCATCTTTCAGTGAATGTGTCCGTTTGAAAGCAACTGACATACAGCCAGATATCTTCAGTTATCTCTTGCATTTGATGTACACTGGGAAGATGGCACCACAACTCATTGACCCAGTTCGACTAGAACAGGGAATAAAGTTTCTGCATGCATATCCACTAATTCAAGAGGCCAGCCTTGCAAGTCAGGGAACTTTTTCTCACCCGGATCAAGTTTTTCCATTAGCATCTTCATTATATGGCATTCAGATTGCAGATCACCAGATAAGACATCCCACTAAGGTTACATCAGCGGCTGACAAACTCGGGCGAGAACCAAGGCCACAGACATCGCGGATGAACCAAGAGCAGGTTTCTGAAAGCTCACAGCTCTCGCAGTTAGCCACAACTCTGCCACAAGTGACCCGGACAAATATGTCCACTTCTGACCCATTGCCATCTTCTTTATCTCCAGAATTGGTATCTGCTGCTGGTAATAATTCACCTGCAGGAGAAGAGGCCAACATGGAAGCATCTTCTTCAGATGAACAGCCTGCCTCACTCACAATAGCACATGTCAAGCCAAGCATTATGAAAAGGAACGGAAGCTTCCCAAAATACTATGCCTGTCACCTCTGTGGTCGCCGGTTCAATTTACGAAGCAGTTTGCGTGAGCACCTGCAAATCCACACGGGAGTTCCCTTCACATCTAGCCAGCAGGGAGAAAGTAATATTTCTTTGTCTCTCTGTAACAACACAGCTGATAAAGATGCAATGGAAGTGCCTGAAGCAGGGATGATTAGTGACAGCGAGTTGCAGCAGATCTCAGACTCCCCAATAATTGATGGGCAGCAGCAGTCAGAGACACCTCCCCCCTCTGATATCGCAGACATTGACAACTTGGAGCAGGCAGATCAAGAGAGGGAGGTAAAGAGACGGAAATACGAGTGTTCCATCTGTGGTCGCAAATTTATTCAGAAAAGCCACTGGAGGGAGCACATGTACATACACACAGGCAAGCCCTTCAAGTGTAGCACTTGTGACAAAAGCTTTTGTAGAGCTAACCAGGCTGCCAGACACGTGTGCCTAAACCAGAGCATGGACACGTACACGATGGTGGATAAACAGACTCTGGAACTCTGTACCTTTGAGGAAGGCAGTCAAATGGACAACATGTTAGTACAGACCAACAAGCCCTACAAATGTAACTTGTGTGACAAAACGTTTTCAACTCCCAATGAAGTAGTCAAGCATTCGTGCCAAAATCAAAACTCTGTCTTTACACTAGAAGAAGATCGCTCCATTCTGCTAGGTGGTGGGGACACAGAAGCCACAGAGACTGATAACGCAGTGTTAGCCTCCATCAAAAAGGAGCAAGAAGCAGTGTTGTTAGACTGAATGTGAAACCTATATCAATTTTTTAAAGTTTCTTTACTCATTTTTTATTAAATCGATTTTTTCCTTCCCTTACCTCTTACCTCACTTACCCCTTCCATCTTTTCCACCAACATCCTTCCCACCCTTTGTCTTCAGCAACCAGAACTGTACTGGCGCATTAGGAAATTGGACTTTGCCTCTCCCACCAAAACAAACAAAAAGCTCTTGCATCAAACCACAACGAAATTGATTTTAATACAAAGGAACATGTGAAAAATAATCCAGCTAACTATGTTGATAGTATTAGTTAATCCAAATTTCATAGATTTTAAATTAAATTTAGATTGCTTAAAAGTGTATTTAGATACAGTGATGACTGTAACGAGAAACAGAGTTATCAGTTTGGTAAGTGAAGGATATATGTATTTTAGTTTCCCTGGTAGAAGGCATTTTGAGATCTGGCAAAATAAACACCGTGCTTTTTACAAGTCCACATGCAAGTTGATTACGGTTATAACCTAAAGCCCTCAGAACTTTTCTCAAGGAGAGCAAAAGTCTCTGTTCATTGAGTTAAAAAGAGCTGAAGGAGTTGGGTTTCTTTTAGCCATACATTTTCCCTCAAGTATGCCTTTGGGTATCTGTTTTGGAGCCAAGCAAAGCAGCTGCTTAGCCAAATTTTGACTTAAGTAGCTATAATAGTAATGTGATGGCAATCTTTATATATATAAATACTGTGTATGTGTAAAGATATATACATATACATATATATATAAAGTGTTCGTGTGTATATTTGGTACAGGTAAATAAATGCACACATCCTTTTTAAGTAACTGGCCACCTACTCTCAGATTCAGCCTGGAATGTCTTTTAGTCATTTGGTAAAACTAGTCATTGCACAGGTTAGTTTTAATCAAATTTAAAACGTCCTGGGCTGTGTGCATTTTTATTGACCTGTTGAAGAGAAGCTAATAAGTAAGTGTTGTCACCCAAGCTACCAAGGAAACTAGAGAGGTGACATACTGGTGAGCACTGCACCATCATTAGTGCAGCACATGCATGTGTTGTTAGCTATAGGTTTGAGTCATTCTGGATGAAAGGAGAAAGAAAAGCTTTATTCCCTTGCTCTGGCAAGGAGTGTCCATGATTTCATTTGGTCTAATGGCATGAGTTAAGAGGGAGAAAAAAGAGTGTTCTAGCAACAGGTGATCATGGTTGTTTTAAAGTGAATCTGTAGTGCTGGCTGGCAAATTGTGAGAGCCCTGTTATTTTGAAAGCCAAGACAAAGTCTGCAAAAAGTGAGAGGATGACTTCTGTAGTTTTGGTTACTGCTGATGGTCGCACTGCATCTTTGTGTTAAAAATCAAGTTGTTGATTTTTTTATTATTTCAAATAGATGCCCAGATTTTTTTGCTGGTAGCCTAAAAACCTACACTGACGGCAGCAGTGAAGCCCACCGAGCAATTACTGGGCCAACAGAAGGTGTAAGTGGACAGAAAAAGTGCCCCGTCATAAATGGAGACAGTGTGTGTTTTGGGGGGAGGGGTGGGAGAGGGCAAGTCACAAACCACAGCTCTTCTCTGTGTATATGTTTAAACTGAATATCATCTTTTTGTGTATAGTTAAGTTCTCAGATTTGTAAGTTTTTATACATTATTTCATTGAATAAAAACTGAATTAAATGGGATATGATTTATTGAGTTGAAGGTGGAAGGTTGTTGGTTTTCAGTCTTCCTGGATGAGCTCTTGCTGAATTGGTTTAAAAGCCAGGTGATGTATTCTGTTTATCATCCTACAGATGAACAAATAGCTTGCTAAAACTTAAAACAGTGGATTTAGCGCAAAAAGTCACTACATACTAGATTTTTTCCAGTTTATTATAACGTGACAACTATCGTAAAGAAAGTGGTATTGATTTTATTATCTCCCTTGTATTAGAATAACAGATTTAAAATCAATTGATTTTGCTTTAAAGTATGGAAGTGTTTTTAAGTAAAAAAATAACATTTTATAGAGTTATTTTAGAGTTGCCCATTTTAAAACTTTTTTAGGATCTTCATCTACCAATATACGTTCTTCAAAAACATTTTTTATTTCATCCTACTTGGTCTGAAATGCTCTCAGAGCAGAAAAACAGAAGAATACTTCCTAATTCAGGGTAAGGTCAGCTTTTGAGGTGTCTGTGGTTTAGGGGCTAGTGACAAGTTCATTTCCAAAATGGCTGCAGCTGCTCAAGGTGCTGCCACCTTAGCTGCTAGTTACTGCTTAATCAGATGTTCTTTTTTTTTTTTCTCCTTTTTTTTTTATTTTCCCCAGAGCTCTAGCTCTGCCCCATGGCAGAGTACAAGAGTTTAGCTCAGCTCCCCAGGTGGCTGGTTCTCTCGTGGCTACACCATTTTTTGTGAGACATTCATCAGCCCCTTACCTTATTCCTGCTCTTATCGCTCCTTGTCCACTGTTTGGAGATCATTGCATGTTGAATGGGCTCAAGTGAAAAACAACTAGTCTTTAAAAATGCTATTTTTCTGTCAAATATCTTCCCTATTTTAGCTCTGCTGAAGGTTTTGAGCAACTAATGGATTGTGAAATGGCAGAGATGAACAGGGAAGAGGGTTACTGAAGCCAGGGTGGCTGCTGGCAACATCCAGGATGTAGAGGGTTGGAAGTGGTGACTCCCGCTTGGGCAGGTCCCTCATCTGGTGGGCAGGGTGGCCTTGCAGCTGATGTACTGCCCAGAAAGAAGGAGCAGGGTAGGGCAGGGAACAAGAAGCCAGCGAAATAGTTGGTTATGACAGTACTGCTGCAAGGAACGTGAATTTGCAGGCCCAGCAGAGATACTTTCACCTGTTAATATTTATTCTTAAGAAATAACACTGTCGGGTAAAAAGAAAAAATAATCACAATAAAGAGACTGTTTTAATATGTGTTCAGCTATGATAATGGTTTATTTTAAGTACCCTTTATTGTCTGATGCTCTGTAGTGATGTTTAAGTCATTACCTTTCAACTGCTCAAGCAGTTTTGTTCCTCTACAACAAATCAGGAACAGTATATTCTGGTTATAACATTTGCATCAAGAGTCTGCATAATTACAGCACAATTACAGTTCAAGCTTCTGTGTTAAAATGCTCTGAATTATTGTTACAGTTAGAGATAACTTCTTAGAGGGTTTATCTTTCAGCGTTTGACTCAGAAATTTGTGACTGACTTGCTTGTTACTCATTCAGTCTTGCTCACCTGCTGAAGTTGTGAATTTTCTACCAATGAAACCAGACAGCTTGGAAGCAACTGCTAGGAAGTCTGGTGAAAATCTGCCATCATTCAAGGCTGTGGGCTTGAACTTCAGCCCCATTTTTTTCCAAAGGAGTACCTTCGAAGTTAATTTCCTAGGCATGTCACTTGACAAAACACCTCTGCCTCGACTTCAGAAGTACCAAACACAAATCTATCTGCTCTGTAGAAAGAACAGAGGATTATCACTTCTGAAAGTGAAGTTTACAGTCTGTTGCAATCAATATTTTTGTGTCAAGTATCTTCTTGATCCCTGGTCTGATAATCATTCTACTTCTGCAGGGGAAGAATTTATTAGAAGATGCTAGTGTTACAAACATTGAATACTTAGAATTGTGCTCCCATTTACACTGCAGGGCCTTCAGTTGCTGTCTTGATGTTTAGAAAATCTGCTGGCTGGCTCTTGAGCTCCAAATCCCATAAAATAACAGCCTCAGTCACAAAACATGGTCAGTTGCAAGAGGGAAAAAAATAAATTTCTTTCTGTTAGCTTTAAATAACTTCTTTGACATTGCAAAATTTTTTACATTAATTAAAGGAAACCTGGTTAGACAAGAGCAGGTGCTATGGTGCCCGGTGGCATCACAATCCCTTGCAGTTTTTTTTCTCAATCTGCTTAACAACAGGATTACCTTGTTTGGGTACTTTACGTTTTTGGAGAGTAATATAGTTCTTTAGATGTCTTCAGCCCAAGCAGTCGAAGGTCAAATTGATTCATTCTTAACCGTTAAAGTAATTTTCCTTGATTGTATTTCCACACCTTTTAATCTTTACACACAAATAAGGAAAGAGTTAATTTTGGAATTCTGTCATTGACTCTCTTATTTAGTGCTTCTTAAAAGTCAACAAATGTTTTCATGTGGCAAGATACTTCATAGCTATGAAGTAGGAGTATTCAGGTCACTGAATAGAAACAAAATAAAACAAACAAACAAAAAAATCCCAAAACAAAAAGAATAGGAGAACAAAACAGGAAAAGGTAAAAGTCTTTTTCAGCACCCTTCAGTAATGTGTATTTGCCAAATGATCTGTGATCCTCTCTAGAAGTAAGGGAAACTGACTGTCCTTAAATATGGGTTTCTTTCAAGCTTGCCATTAAAAAGGACAGATATTGATGAAATTTAACCAAAACCACAAAACACAACTTCCTCTGCAGTACAGCCTTGCTGCCATGGTGTCTGTGTGTTTGAACAGGTCACATGTGCCAAGATGCAGAGCTTGGAGCAGCTGTCAGTGACTGTTGTCACTCTTTGCAGTGCCTGTGTTGTAGCCCTTGTGCCAAAGGAACTGCCAGCAGGACTCCTCTAGTTCAATCCATGCTGATTGCTTGGGCCAAAACTGAAGCTTTCCTGGAACCTTAGGCAATCTACTCAGAGAAGAGAGAAGCAGAGTCACAAAATGCACATTAACACAGAAGTTCACTTACTGTACTGCTCTGTGGAGTGTGCAGGAGGTACCCACCACTGCAGCATGCATCAGCATAGATCCAGAGACTGTCTCCAATCTATTGACTGTGTCAGGTCCCATTTTGGAGCAGCTCCCACACTTTCTAAAAGAACTTCCTGATAAATCCATGTTGCCTTCTACAGTGATCCTTAATCTCTCAACCACACGGTTAAAGCATTTTCTAGTTTGTTACTACTGTATTGTGTAATTCTAGTTTCAGCAGTGAACTATTTTATGGATTGCTAGGGTTCATTTGGGTCTCTTAAATTCACAGGGCAATGTACTCTGTCAGTCAAACTTTACTTCGTGACCTTATTAGGTGAAAATCAAACCAGGGCTCAATCCTTTTTTGATAAACTAGTCTGATCTTTCAATTCTCTAATGTACTGCTTCAGCAGTTCACATAGTCATTAACTCAGAAAATTACTAACCCGCATGCTTATGAGCAACAGAGGGTGCTTATCCTTCCTTTCCATCACGCTGCAGGTGTCCCCTCTATTACTCCAGGAAGCAGGAGAGCCTCAGCAGCCCAGCTTCTGCTGGACCTGCTGCCAAAGGCTTTGGGGGTAAACATGTACTCCTGCCTCCCAGCTCGGAAACCTCGTCTAATTACACCTTCCCTGTGCCTTGTTGCAGTTTGCTCTGAAGCCTTTCAGACTTATCAGAAGCTACCAAACAGTTACTTTTTCAAGGCTGCAGGCTCAGCAGACCTGATCTCTTTCTGGCCTCAGTACCAGCACAGATGCCGCTCTCCCTGTCAGGCCCTTCTCCCAGCACAGGCCAGGCCTTGGTGGGGCTGTGCCTTAGGGCAGGGCTGAGCAGGAGCTGAGTGAGCAGCTCCTCTGGGTCTGGGCCCTACTTCTGCTCTTGCCTTATCATTTCCTGACTTGATTCAGGCTGGCCCTGAATGCAGCAGCGATCTAGAACCAAACCTGCATTTTCCCCGCAGAGCCCGCTGAAGCAGCTCGTTATTGCCCATTAATGGCCGTGTGTCCAGCGGTGGCTGTGCAGGGACAGCACTAGATGGTGCAGTCACACCACTGCAACCTCCCGGGCCTCCCACCTCGTTGTCCCCTTGCCCTCCACAGGGGCAGCCACTGCACACCCCAGAGAGCATCCCCATACCCAGGGGCTGCCCTGGGAAGCCACAGAAAGGGGCAGAAGGGAGTCTGGCAGCCCTGTCTCACAGCAGGCTTGCCCCAGAGAACAGAGCCCTTTGCACGGTGGGCTGCAGAGCACCCAAAGGCACCAAGTCCCAAGGCTGGCAGGGGCAGGTAGAAAAGGGGTACCTTTTCACATCTTCACTGAAAAGAAAATATGCAATTTAAAATTTTATTAAATTTTATATTCTATTATATGTTTATTTATTTATATTTATTTATGTATATTACACTGTCACATCTGCCATTTAGAACTGACCAAGACCATTTCCTCCCAGAAGCAACTGACTTCAAATTGGGTGGATTTCATGGGAACATTGTTACTCAGCCACTGCTCATGCCACCCTAGATGAGGACAAGTGCAGGCTTTTAGGCAGCCCTGAATAGGGACACTGGTTACAACCTTTCTTTTGGTGTTAAACTGTCAGCATGAGATTCCCATTCCAGCAGGAGCAGGTCTTTCCTGGTTGTCCTACAAAAGAGTAAAGTCTGGAAAATGGGGAGGGCTACACACACACACACAGGGTCAGGTCCTTCCACCCCAACAGCAGTACTTGAAGGATGTAAAGGAAAATAGTCACTCAAAGCATGTGATTTGCAGCTAATGAGGAAAGGAAGGTGATGCCATATCACTCAACCAGCACCACTCCAGTTGCTGGCACACAGCTCTCCACACACAGGCATGGTCCTCCTAGTTGTTCAATAATAATAATAATAATAACACTCTTTGATATTGCATTCTTATGCAGAATTTTTTTTTTTTTTTCATTTTGAGACATCTTTGGCAAT